AGGAGAGGCTTCCGTCTAACCACTCTGCCATAGAACCCAGATTGGGGGAGGGCGGCAGTGATGGTTGTCCTTCTGGAAATTTGTCCCATTTCCACACAGGATCTCTGGAGCTCAGTCAGAGTGACCATCGGGTTCTTGGTTACCTCTCTTACTATGGCTCTTCTCCCCCGATTGCTCAGTTTGGCCAGGTGACCAGGTCTTGGAAGAGTCCTGGTTGTGCCAAACTTCTTCCATTTTAGAATTATGGAGGCCACTGTGCTCTTGGGAACCTTCAGTGCAGCAGAATTTTTTTTGTAGCCCTCCCCAGATCTGCCCCTTGCAATAATCCTGTCTCTGAGCTCTGCAGGCAGTTCCTGTGACCTCATGGCTTTTGCTCTGATACAGTATGCATTGTCAGCTGTGAGGCCTTCTATAGAGAGGCGTGGGGCTTTCCTAATCATGTCCAATCACTTTAATTTACCACAGGTGGACTCCAATCAAGGTGTAGAAGCAGCTCAGCAACCATCAAGAGGCACCTGAGCTAAATTTCAAGTGTTGTTGCAAAGAGTCTGAATACTTATACCAATGTAATAGTTCAGTTTTTCCTTTTTAAGAAATTTACAGACATTTCTAAAATTCTGTTTTCACTTTGTCATTATGGATTACTGAGTGTAGATTGATGAGGAAAAAAAATGAATTTGAACGATTGTAGTATCAGGCTGCAACATAACAAAATTGAACAAAGTGAAGGGGGTCTGAATATTTTCTGAATGCACTGTATTTTTGATAAGAAAACACACTTGGTTGATGTTAGAGGTATCAATCAAACATCAATGGAGAGATGCTGGGCTTTTTCCAGAGCTGGGGAGGGAGAGGGGTGAATGAAAATAAAGATTCCAGAGAGCTCCAGGAAGGCTTTTACATCTGTTAGCATTTTCCCATCTCAGATCTGCTGCTTTGGAGGTCAGTTGATTAATGGTTGAATATATTTCTCTAAATTAAAGAGAAGCAATGCGGCACAATCCCCATGTAGAGTACTGAACATCTCAGCATTGATTTTTCATGGGCTTTAATGCATTGCATATGTTCTGGATAGGTTTCCAGTGGGCTTTCAATACATTGTGCATCTACAGCTATTGCATCTAAGAGGTGGGGACCTGCATGACTTTAAGATGGAACAAGTTGATTTAAGGTCAGTATGATCTTCCTGAAATTCACAAATGATTCTGTCTTGTCTCCCCCACTTTGTAGAAGGTGGATCCATCTGGCCAGCCAACATGTTCAGCCCACCCTGCCCGCTTCTCTCCGGATGACAAATATTCTCGACACAGAATCACCATTAAGAAACGCTTTGGTGTCCTGATGACCCAGCAGCCTCGGCCTGTTGTTTAAATATGCTTTCATCCTGCTCCCAAGTTACAAAGGCAGCAAGATAAGCTTTGAAAGCAGCCTTGGAGAAGCCGATGCAAACAAAGAACACCCGTAGATCTGCTTTCTGCCTTCCATGTTATTGTGCCACTTTGCAGTAACTGATGTTTTCGAACTTGACTTTATTCCTTTTGTGTTCTGTGGAAGAAGAATGAGCTACATCCTGCAAGCAAGATAAAATTATTTTATTCACATTTTTCTGGTTATGCAATTTTGGAAATAAAATAAGGTTCTCCGTTGTTCTATTTCTGTAGCATGATAGGTCTGTGCGGTATTTCCCAAACAGGAAATCTAGCACTTCTCATGTGTACTAGTGATCTGTTTCAAAGTACTGGGAAAAAAAGATGTCTGGGTGATCATGGCATGTACCTTTGAAGGAGAACTACAGTGAAGACTTGCCTCCTTAAACTCAGTGATTCTGTTCAGGATTTGAACCTTCCATTCCCTCCTCTGGGCAGTTCTTTCTTTCCTACTTTCACTTTTTTCAATGATCACCCTAGTTTCTCTAGCTATTGAACATGCTTAGTTCTCAGTAGAGTTTTTTTTTTTTAATGGAATTGGATGTGTGGCTGGTAACACCTTTCTCTAGCTTCGTAGTGGCCTTTATGTTTATTAGTTTAATGAATAATAGGAATGAAAGCTTTTTGCTAAGGCAGGATTAGATCCAAAACAGTTTATCATTATTGAAATCAACTAGAACATTAATATATTAGACATGTATTATGTGTTTTTCACCATGTTTAATTACCAATAAATACATAGTCACAAAATGTACACATTAGGTATTCTCTGGCAATTCAGTCCAACCAAAGGCTTTCTGTCAGTGACTGGTCTTGAAGTAGTGACTTTTAATTTCCCACTGGAGATCATGTTGGTTTTGATACATTTTTCTCTGAAACATACACGATGGAAAATCATTATAACTAGTCCATGGCCAATTAGATTATCAGTTACTCTTTTCATCTTTCTCTACCCATTTTCCTTTTTAGGTCAAAATGATATTACTAGTTGTCACCATTCCACAATAGTTATATTTTACAAAGTCCTTTTATAAAGAAAAAAATATGACTAGTAATATAATTATACTTTTAAGGTAACTCTTTGAAGTTGCATTGCTCCTTACAGGTTCTGTTGTGCTAAGGATTATTTCATATATCCTGGCATGTTCTGGGTTGAAGTTTTGGCGGGGGATAGAAGATGGACAGTCTTTTGGCCCCAACAGTTTGAAATAGCCCTCCCAGACCTTGAAAAAGATAGGTGTCCTTTAATCTTAAGTTCCAAATCTCTTGTATTGCACATTGAAGCAAATTGCCCTTCTGAACTTTGGGAAGCAATGTGTGGCAAATTCAGCTTCTGTTAGTATTTCTTGGATAAGAAGGATATCCTATTTTTTTCTGCTTGGTAAGAGTATCAATATCAGTAACACTGCAAATAATGGCTTATATTTTGGGTGGGTGATTCTTTTATTTCTTAAGCAAACCAGCTAACTCTGGGCTACATGGCACAACAAGTGGATCAGTGCTGACTTGAAAATTGCACTCATCAACAGTTTCTCATCAAACTCTAGGGAAATACTGAGTGGGGTGCCATAAGGTTCAGTCCTCCTTCCTTGGCTTTATTGTTTTCAACATTTTTTGCAAATAAGTTAGGTGAGGAAATGGAGAAGCTTATCAACTATGCTGATGTTACAAAATTGGGTGGGATAGCTAATGGTCTGTAGAAAGAAAATTCAAAATGTTATTGTAAAGTTTTAAAAAATGTCCTGAAAATAGCAATGAAATTGAACAAATGCAAAGTCATCCATATGAAAAACAGACAACAAATGCATAATATAGGATGGGGCTTGGCAGTAACACTTAGGAAAAAGATTTTGGAATAGTTCATCAGAAACAATGTGAGTCAGTATAATGATGCAAAGAAGGCAAATCTTTTAGGCTCTTTGAAGGGAAGTATAATTTCCAAATCATAAGTAATAATTCCTCTTCATTCTGCAATGATTGGACCCCACCTTGAATTCAATTCTGAGTACCACATTTTAAGATTCAGAGGAATTGAAATAGGTTTGACAAAAGCTACAAGGATGATCCAGGGGATTAGGAACTAAATTTGATGAAGAACAAATTGATAACATTAAAGGGAAATATAATAGTGCTCTTCAACTCTCTAAAAAGCTGTTCCACAGAAGGAGGCTAAATTTTCTGTCATCCTCAATCAGAGTATAGAATAATAGAATTAGGGTAGAGGAAGGCAGATTCCAGCTGAAGGGTGAGTGGGTGAGGGGAAATCCAAACAGAATAGATTCGGATGGTAGATGGGAAGCAGACATAAAGTGCATTGCTCTTCCTTGGAATTGGAATTGGTATTCTTGCAAGTGAGCAGGAAAAGGCCTAAATTCTCCCTTCCAATTCCACAACTTGAAAACAAGCCTACCTATGCCAATAGCAACCATGTACTGTAGCCTTTCAAGCCGTTGAATGTAATTTTGCTGGCAGCTTGGGACCTCTCCAGGAGATTAAGGCAGGCCATGTTAAATGGCTGCTTAAGGATTTATTTCAGTGGGTTACAGATGAGATTATTATTATTTTGTGCCATAGCTGAGAACTCAGCAAAGAATCTTTGCCTCACCTGTTTCTTATCATTAGATTCCCACTCTTCTCACCCTTCATTGTCTGTGTGTCTTGGACATATTATCTACCTTTTGCAGCATAACTGTTGAGAATAATGTCATGTTCCAAAAGGAAGAGAGGACTCAATCAATCAATCAATCAATCAATCAATCCTCTGTCCCACAGTTAGCAATGAGATGTAAGTGGCAGGCAGCAATGACTGCTGAGTAAGAAGCTGAATGCTTTGGGGAAAGGGTGATCAACCATACAACATGCAGATGGGCATTTACTACTGCTGGTTGACTGACATC